CATGTCAGGAATTGTGAAAAACTGAGTTTAAATGTATTTGGCTAAGGTGTATGTAAACTTCCGACTTCAACTGTATATGGTGTTATTTATTGGGGGACTGTGGTCTAAATACACAGCAGCACTTTCAACTCCACCCATTCCATTGGTCCCAATGCAGTACACTGTATGCCTATAAATGACATTTGCTTATAGAGAGAAAACTATTCTATGTGCCAATGTAAAAGCGGAGTTGGAATTACTCAGTAGGGTCTGTAGAATCTATTTATGGTGTTATTTCAAGGGGGGCTGAGATTTAAATACCCAGCAACACGTTCTACATCATGCATTCTATTGGTCCCAATGCAATACACTGGCCTATACATTTCATATTGGCTTATATAGAAAAAAGTATTCTATGTGCCGGTGTAAAAGTGGGGTTGGGAATACTCTACTCTGTGGAATCAGTTTATCCTTAAGAGTCCATTGACGCACCGGTGTGTCAATCTAAGTATCATAATACAAAAATTTAACTAGCGATATCAGGTTTTTTACACGGGCTGGGTATCAATCCACTGCCTCCGCCTATGGCGGCCTACCGCATCTGCAGTGGAAGGTGGCTGAGCTACACACTGTGTTTCTCACACCATGAGACATCCCGAAAATTGGTCTTCTCACAAAAACGTCTATTTGCTCTACGACCCCCACAAGTGTCACGGGACTAGTCTGAAGTCAATAACCCTGATGTGCCAACTTCTGTTTGTAGTGTCCGAACCATTTGGGCTTTTCCACTGTGGAAAGGGGAGATTCTCACAAACACGTTGTTATCTGTTTTGCTCTACAAGCCCCACGAGTGTCACGGGACTCTCCTCAAGCAATAGGTTTTGTACCTGAGCCTCATTTACATTCTCTGTTTGTACCATTTTGTTTCATTTCACCCTGTTGTCACTAGCAATAGAATGTATAAATGTGTCACAGTCCCCTTTAAGACATAACCCATTTTGCAATGGATATAATTGAACTCTACATGATTCTGAGTTGCATAGAAAAGTAGCAGATTCTACATCCTTTTTACAACACAATCAAAGTGATACCAAATTGCACAGATATCACATTCTAGTGTTGCTTGTTTACTGTTATGGAGTGGGTGGAGTAAAAGTGTTGCTGGGCATCTAGACCTCAGTCCCTCATGAAATAACACCATACATAGATTCTACAGACCCTACCCACTGGGCACAGACATCAAGTCAATGTCTATTCCACGTTGGTTTAATGTAATTTCATTGAAATGACGTGGAAACAACGTTTATTTCAACCAGTGTGTACCCAGTGGGTAGTGAATAATCCCAACCCCACTTTTACTTCGGCACCTATAATTATTTTCTCTCTATAAACCAATATGTAATTTATAGGCCTATAGTGTATTCCATTGCAATGAATGGAGTTGGTGGAGTAGAAAGGGTTGCTGGGCATATAGACCTCAGTCACCCATGAAATAACACCATACATATATTCTACAGACCCTAGTGAATAATCCCAACTGCACTTTTACTTCAGCATCTAGAATAGTTCTCGCTCTATAAGTCAATATGTATTTAATATTCAGTGTATTGCATTCAGGGCATATATTTGACCTTGGAACATGTTTTAAAATCCAAATGTAATGCAAATGCCACTTAAATATTAACAAATATGAATCATTGTTAATGTTTAGACAATTATTTTTCATATATCATGAATAAACACAGGGTATCCCTTTCCTACAGTCAAATGATCTAGTGGCCTCATGGCTGGAATGTTATTAATATTTTTCATAATTCCATAATTAATACATGTTAATTTATTAAAATGCCGTAAATACGGTGTTTCTATCAAACAATTGTGTTATATTTCAGTCTTCTGTGATGTATATAAAGTGTAATATTGGGATGCAAACTCAAAATGTAATACATTTAAACTCTATATCTGACCTGGTACAGGTGATTTCTTTTTTTAAGCCCATAACCATGTGTGTGAGGTGTATACTTTTGTTTCATATTAGATTTGTTTGAGACTACCAAGAACACTCTGTGTGACCCTGATTCAGCCCACTGCAGTAAAAAGGTTAATGATACTTTTCTACTATTTTACTATTGAGCCCCGTGAAATGACACCATCTATAGATTCTACAGACTACTGAGTACTCCCCACCATAGCATGTGAGCAGAGTTGAGCGGTTGGAAGTGCTTGCACACCGCTCCTACCCGCTTCGGCTCACAGGGAAAAAACTGCGCCTCCAAATTTGCTCCATTCATTAAAATCACAATTTAATCAACACACATCTATATTTGTGACTACCTGGATTGGTTTTAAGTATTGAAAACAAACCATATGGATTTGAATTAAAAGTATTTGAATAAACATGAAAAGGTGAACGTAAGAAGCTAACATAATTTCAAATAGGCTACATGTCATTTTAAACAGCATATAAATACTCTAAATAGGTCAGGAGCCAGACAGGGAGCCTAAGAAGGAACGAAAATGAATTATTTAGGCTATAGCATTTAAACAACATTTTGTTGTATTAAATCATTATAGTCTATAAATTGCGCATTTAGACTGTGACTTACTTAGAATTAAATACACATTAAACGAAACATGACTTATTAGTGCTTTGAATTCATTTTTAGAATCAATTTTTAGAAACATGAGTTTGGCCAGTGTGTGGCTTCAGGCTCAAGCGATGGTGGCTTCAGGCTCAAGCGATGGTGCCTGGAGAGCCGGCCAGCATCGGAGAAAATCCTCTCCACACTTGCAGAGCCACTGGGGATGCTTTTAGCCACTCTTGCCAGGCTGGGCAGAGATTCAAAGTTTTATATATATATATATATATATATATATATATATATATATATATATATATATATATATATATAGGTAGGCCTAAATAACCCAATAAAAATGGAAAGCTCCTTGAACGTGGGAATATGACAGGCCTATTCGGCCAACATCAATTATGACCTATTGTATAGACAATATAACGAAAATGAACGAAACGTTTAAGAGATAGGAATTTTAGTTTATAAATACATTGCTACAATGACACACTTATCGACCCACCTCATTCCTTTCTTTTAGCATGTGCACGTAGTAAGTACGCATCATGCTTTTGGAATACGTCTTCTCAGATTCAGATGATTATTTAGTTGTGGACACTACATCACCGCACTCCATCTCATGCTCTTGGTCCTCATCTTTGTAAGTCACCTTGATTTAGCACCTATGTGTTTTATCAGTTTCTTTATGAAAATATTTAGCGAACTCCATGACAGTAGCTAAAGCAAGGGGCTATAGCAGCACACAAGTAGACTACAAATGCATGCTGGGGCGGGCATTCCCTGAGCTCATGAAGTGAGCGCTACTGGAGCGAAATTGGAGCAGGGGAGAAGGCCGACTCTCCAGCCTTTGGGAATCTCGCTCCATGCGCCAGTCAAATTGGGCACGCTCCACTCCTCCCTCTGCTCCAGCTCTGTTCTGCTCACATGCTCACATACTCTGCTCCCCATCCCACTGTTACATTGCCACAAATAATCGTTTTTTCTCTATAACCCAAATGTAATGAAAATGTCACTTAAATAGGAACAAATATGAATCATTGTTTAGACAAATATTTGTCATACATCATGAATAAATACAGGTTAATAACACTTTTCTACTATTACGCGGGGGACTTTTATTGAGGAAATTCCGTGACCCGGAAGTACTGTTTTAGTGTTGCTGACGAGACGCTGACAGTTAGCTGCTGGTTCCACGTGCAGCAGAATTTTGTAGTCGCATTGCCAGAGCCACAAACCTGCAATGAAGCGTCCAGGTAAGTGTAGCTAAAGTCTTTACATTTGGCATGTACATTCGTTTTTCTTTATTAATTACTATTAATTTAGTCTCTGTTGTGATTCAGTTGAATACATTTTCATTGCCAGTTAGACTGCCTATACTTAGCTAGTGACACATGCTGGCTACAGTCATAACGTTAGCTCTCTGGCTAGCATTAGGTTGTTAGGAAGCCAACCCTGGCTAGAATTTCGTTCATGTTTTTCAGGGTTAAAGAAAGCAAGTAAACGCGTGTCTTGCTCCAAACGTTACAAAATACAGAAAAAGGTAAACATTGTCAATTGCACTCATTACTGTCATTACTCTTTTTAAGGCTAACGTTACTCCTAGCTGTTGGTGATGTCATACATTGCTAACGTTAGGTAGCTAGCTAAGTTAGCTCAATTGGAGATACATTATCCAAATCAAATATTATTGGTCGCGTACACATATTTAGCATATGTTAGGGGAATGTATGTAGGCAAATGCTTGTAAATTGCCATGTGTGTCGGCGCCATCTTTCAAATCAAATCAAATTGTATTGGCCACATGGGCCGAATACAACAGGTGCAGACATTACAGTGAAATGCTTACTTACAGCCCTTAACCAACAGTGCATTTATTTTTAATAAAAAAGTAGAATAAAACAAAGTGTTGAGGAAAAAAAGAGCAGAAGTAAAATAAAATAACAGTAGGGAGGCTATATATACAGGTGGGTACCGGTGCAGAGTCAATGTGCGGGGGCACCGGCTAGTTGAGGTAGTTGAAGTAATATGTACATGTGGGTAGAGTTAAAGTGACTATGCATAAATAATTAACAGAGTAGCAGCAGCGTAAAAAGGATGGGGTGGGGGGGCAGTGCAAATAGTCCGGGTAGCCATGATTAGCTGTTTAGGAGTCTTATGGCTTGGGGGTAGAAGCTGTTGAGAAGTATTTTGGACTTAGACTTGGCACTCCTGTACCGCTTGTCGTGCGGTAGCATAGAGAACAGTCTATGACTAGGGTGGCTGGAGTCTTTGACAATTTTGAGGGCCTTCCTCTGACACCGCCTGGTATAGAGGTCCTGGATTGCAGGAAGCTTGGCCCCAGTGTATAACAGACCTATTAGTTATGTAGCTATATAAATATGCAATTTTGTCTTGTCATGATTTCTAATGTAATTTCTTTGTTTTTAGGTCAGGGAACACAACAAAAAACTAAGAAAAGATTCAAAAAAGAAAGGAGTTGGCAAAAAAGTGAAAAGGGATATTGGAGTTCCCAACAAAGCACCATTCAAAGAGGATATTCTGAGGGAAGCAGAACAGAGGAGGTCAAAGGTGAGGCGATGAACTGTTTTTGGGATAGCGTCCAGGTACATGTGTGGGCTCATCGCTTTCATATTTTAGCGGGCAAAATAATTAGGTCTACGATAATTTTGTTTTTTATCTCTCTCCAACCCAGCTTGAAGAAGAAAAGGAGAAAAAGAAGCTTGCCAAGCAACAAGAACGGGCTCAGAAGAGGAAGAAGGAAAACGCTGCCAGCAGTGATGCAGACCCTAAAGCGAAGAAAGCTAGAAAGGTAAAAGAAAAGGGTGAAGTGCATCAAAGATCATGCCCTCAGCGTAGCTTGACACTATTTTAACTCCACATTTTAACTCCACAGGAGTTACCGTCACAGGAGGACCTTGTGAAACAGATGGTGAAACAGAGTGACCCAAGGAATTCGAAGAAGCACCTTTGTTCAGAATTAAACAAGGTGAGATTATTACATCCACATGTGTCTGTTGGCATTAAGTCCCAGATAAGGAAACAATAGCCCTTGTCTGGCTGAGTTGCTCTGCAAGACAGAAGCTGTCATGAAGCCATGCCCTACCTGAGTGTCCCAGTTACTCTCATATTTACTCCAGGTGATCGATGCCTCTGACATCATAGTGGAAATCCTAGACGCAAGAGATCCCCTTGGCTGCAGGTGCCCACAGCTAGAGCAAGCTGTGCTGAAGAGGGAAGGAAACAAGAAGCTACTATTCCTGTTGAACAAAATAGGTAATAACCTTATGGATAACATTATTTTGTGTCAATTCTATTTTTAAGGTTTTTACATCTTTATTCCAAAAGTAGTTAAACTTTAATACCGTAAATTACATTTTCCAACCCTCAGATCTTGTCCCTAAAGAGAATGTGGAGAAGTGGCTGCAGTGTCTTCAGCTTGAGTTCCCTACTGTGGTGTTCAAGGCATCCACACAACTACAGGACAAAACAGTGGTATGTAAATGAAATACCTACTATTTGAATGGGATTAATTTCACTGACTACTCGGGGGGGGGTCCATATTGATGACCAGCTTCAGTCACATGCAGAATGTAGAATATGGGTCATTACTGTGTAGACTATTTATTAGAATGTTGATAATTAATGCATTTACATGTACATTTTTTTTGTTAAACAGCAAGAGAAGAAGGCCAGGTTGGCAACTCTTAATGGAGTAGTAGACCAGACCAAAGGAGTGGCCTGTTATGGCAGCAGCTGTCTTCTCCAGCTCCTGGGAGACTATGCAAATGCAACAGGAAGAGAAGGCTCACTAAAAGTGGGCTTAGTCGGTAAGGAAGTTACTCCCCTCACCATTACTCAAACATGAACAGCATATTTTCCCTTGATTAGTATGGCTCTCAAGTGGTGTTATTAAAGGGTTGTGGATGAGAAATGATGAGGATTTATGTGAACTACTGATGTCTGTGAAGACTAATAATCCAACTCTGATCTCATCCATAGCAAACACAGTGCCCTGTTGGCTACCCTATGTCCTATCATGTCTGATCTGTCTTACTTGTGTTCTTTCAGTTTTATTTGATCAATTATATCATGACTGCATGCACAAATTAGCCCGTTATATCAGGACCCCTTGACAATGATTCATCTTTAAGGGTTTATCCTGCACAGTATAAATACCTGTTGTCTATTACTTCCACCTCTGATGCCCTCCTCTGTCCCCTCAGGGTTCCCCAACGTGGGGAAGAGCAGTCTAATCAACAGCCTGAAGGGGATGAGGGCCTGTAATGCAGGAGTCCAGAGAGGGATCACCAGGTGAGTGAAGCTGAACCATTTTAATAATTCATGATAGAGATGGGGTCCGTTTTAGTCAAAGATGGTGAGGAATTGAATGAAGCATGATGAAGTTGAAGATCTGACAAAACCGTGGAGTCTATATTCAATCCAACACTGAGCTTCATACACTTCATCTGGGTCTTGCCAATTGGCGCAGAACAGGCCAAAACACTTGGCTACGTCTGTTTACCTGAATTTGCTCAATGCATGAGTGTTATTGGAAGCTTCCCACCTAACACACCTGATGTCTGACCCTTGCAGGTGCTTCCAAGACGTCCACATATCTAAGAATGTCAAAATGATTGACAGCCCAGGGATAGTGGCAGCCCAGTCTAACCCAAAAGCTGCCATGGCCCTGAGGAGTCTCCAGGTGGAGGATAAGCAGGAGACTGTTCTAGAGGCCGTCAGGACCCTGCTCAAACAGTGCAACAAGCAACAGGTGAGACGAGGGAGATCCCTGCTACTCACTGGTGTAAGGACATTTTACTGCCACGTTTGAGATCAAGCCCTAGCTCTGCTGAGCCTACTGATAGGTAATCATGGACTTTGTCTTTTAGGTAATGCTTCAGTACAACGTTCCAGACTTTAGAAACTTCTTGGAGTTTTTATCCTTTTTTGCCAAGAAGCGTGGATTTTTGCAAAAGGGTGGAGTCCCCAACACAGAACTGGCTGCCTCTACCTTCCTCAATGATTGGACAGGGTGAGTGTTGTCATCGTAACAATTTGTTACCAATTAAAGTAGTCAGACTAGCATGGAAATTAGGATAATTAATGCAATTCTTGAATTTAAGTGAAGACTTCTAATCCAACTCTGATCCACTGCTGAGCCAGACTGAGTACCTTGCCTGGAATCTAGAATGCATTTTTTATTTGTATTTCAGGGCAAACGCTTAATTCCTGTTACATTCCCATACAAGTGTGTTGATCCAGCTGCTGAGCCAGACTAAGTACCTTGCCTGGAAACTAGAATGACATTTATTTAATTTGATATATACCTAAAAATTCGATATTTTCAGTGCAAAGCTGAGTTACCACTGCAAAGCCCCTGAGAAGCAAAGCCTTCCCCCATACCTCTCTGAAGACATTGTAACAGAGATGCAGAAGGGGTGGGACTTGGACAAGCTGAGGAAGGGCAACGAGGAGACTCTAAGAAGTATGTTAATTTAGTATTTTCTCTAATAGAATTGTCTCATTTTACGGTAATGAGTGTTGTGTGATGATGACTGACCCACTCTCCTTCCAGGTGTAAAGTTCCCAAATCGGGCCAGCAGCATTGTCCTCCTGTCTAAATGCCCCACCGCCGGAGTGTTGAGTGATGTTGTTGAGGACAAACCTGCTCCAGAGCCCACTGAGGAAGATATGGAGGGTAGCTGTGAAAACGAAGAGGTAGCTGAAAATCTTTCAGTTTGTTTCTAACCTGATGAATCAGATAAAAGTAGGGTCAGTCAGTCTGTGCTATCATGGAAATGAGGAGAAAAAACGCAAGTCTGATTTTAAAGTGAAGACTTCTAATCCAACTCTGATCCCCTGCTGAGCGAGTACCTTGACTGTAATCAACAATCAAATGCATTTTTTGGTAAACAGGGCAAAGCTGAGTTACTACTGCAAATACTTTTCCAGCATTTGTAATACAATATCTTCCTCTTAATTTCAGGCTGATGGGGTTGAAGAGGTGTCTGATGCAGAGGAAGTGACTGAGGAAACAGATGAACCACAGATGAAGACACCAGTCACAAGTAAATAAATATAAAAGAGAACCAGCTTCATTCCTTTTACATTCCTAGTTAATGTAGTGTCAGTCTGTGTGGAAATGAGGACAATAACACAAGTCTGAATTTAAGTGAAGACTTCTAATCCAACTCTGATCCACTGCTGAGCCAGACTGAGTACCTTGCCTGGAATCTAGAATGCAGTTTTTTTTTGTATTTCAGGGCAAAGCTTAATTCCTGTTACATTCCCATACAAGTGTGTTGTCAATGTCACTTAAATTATTTATCCTTTGCAGATGAACAAGCCAAGGTGAGGTTACAGGTTCCTGTCCCAGTCAACATTGACCTCTCCTCAGTCCACACAGATGATGCCTATGACTTCAATACAGATTTTAAATGAACATCTGTCCTTTTTGTTTCTCAAAACTGTACTGGCTCTACCTGCACCATCTGTTCTGTAAACCTGTGTGATGGAAAATTGTATCTTGGTTACAGGCTATTCGAATCAAGTGACTGTTTAAGGCCTCTGTGGATGTAACCTGTATGAGTTGGTAAATGTTTTGCCTTTTGAGTAAAGGACCAGCGGTAATGTTTATGATCTGTACATGTTCAATGTGAATTATTGTATATAACCTGAACACAAATAAATTGATCCATAATTTGCCCCAAGCAGTGCTTTCATTCCAGTATTTCAGTTAAAATGGGGCTGATGAATACAACTGCTCAACCCCATATGGGGTGTTTAATTTGCTTTGACATGGTGTTGATAACATGACAAAGACTCCAGGTAGAGTTGACTTGGTTTTATTAAGCTTCTTTTACAAAAGGATGACAATTTGAATATTTATATCTGCTAGAATAATCCTTTGTACAGAGTAGAAAAATAAGCCCTGACAGTGACATGTAACAACTGTTAGCAAAACACCACATTATCAGGAGGCGTGTAGTGTTTGAGAATACTTTAAAATGAAAACCATAGGAGTTGGTCCCGTGTGGCTCAGTTGGTAGAGCATGGTGCGTGTAACACAAGGATTGTGGGTTTGATTCCCACAGGCGACCAGTAAGAAAATGTATGCACTCACTAAGTTGCTCTAGATAAAAGCACCTAAATGATGTAAAAAAGTTATTTGACACATGGTTATCCCATAACCATTTCAGCTAAAGCACATGTATTGATACCATAGTGGTTTGTGTATACCATTTATATCCATCTTTGCAAAAAAGCATGATGCTGCAAAATGCAATCAAGAGAAAGGATAGTAGGCTTCAAGCTTGTTTATAACTTGTTTAGTGTTGTGGTAGTGATGCTGATTTATAGTTATAAAGGGTAAGGAGTTAAAGTGCGAGACAACCGGCAGTAACAAACATTGATCCTTGTTCTGACAGAATAATGCATCAATGTGAAGGTCTAAGGAAAGAGGCAGACTGTTGGTTTAAGGAAAATGACAATCTTGGCAAATTGTCAGAGGGATAGTTCCTGAACACAGGCACAGAGTGTATTCAGTATGGCACTACTTCATGTTAAAGATATACATTATTACCTTGTCACATGTGAAGCTAAGCATAGAACCATTGGTGCATCTCAACAGTTATGTAGCTGCATCTGCTTTGATGTGAAAAAATTAGAAGGCCACTTTAGACTATTGAGATGTATGACACATTTCTATCTGTAACATCCTATGTTACACACTATGGAACATTGGAACATGCCCCTGTCTCTGCCTGAGATCTACACCACCACTGCATGGTAAACAGTAGACATATCACTGTGTTTGGAATGGGCTTGCATCACGTTAGGGTTCCTGAGAAGTCACTCTGGGAGGACAGACAGGTAGAGGCAGACTAGCTGTCGTCTGGTCACATCCCTGCTTTAGTCTACTTGTCCCCTGCATGTTTCCGAACTGGATGGAATTTACGCATGGGGTCCTGAATATACCACTTGTCCCAGACTTCGGTGAATGAAGAGGTCCTGGACCATGGTTTGTAATGTCCGTTCCAATGGAGGAGTTTGGCAGCTTTCACGAACTGGGGAGAGTAGCGGTTTCCAGCACCAGTAGCCCCTGAAAATAGAGCAATACTGAGTGTTTCTATGCAAACAAAGGCCAACAGCTCCCAAGCTTATAGGACAATAAACTGTACAAGCCAATAAGAAAGGGAAATGATGATCCTGTAATAATAACCTTTATTTGTACTTTATTATACAACATTACATCACTAAGTGTGCCAGGGCTGTCTGCAGCTCATTGTTAGGTAAACATGGAGACAGACAGTGAAGCATCCCCCCAAAGCATGATTTCACACCGTGAATGCTTCCTCCTCAGCGAGCTTAACTACAGCGTTCTCTTACCCCCGCACGTCCGCTCTCTCTCTCTACTGCATGTGCAAACACATTGGCGGGGAAACAGCTGTTGGCTCAGTGGGGAAACTCGCTATATGAAGTCTATTTAATCAAATACATTTCTCGACAGACCATAGTAACAGTTCTTACCTAGGTGTCTGACGTGCCACATGGGGTCGATGCTGGAGTGGTGTTTGTAGAAGACAATGAGCAGGGGAGGTGTGGTGATACTCTCTGCCAGGGTCTTACTGTAGAGGTCCTCTCTTGACGAGGGAATGAAATAAAAGCAAATGAAAACTCAAACAGAATGCTTTACAATTGTCAACAATCTGTGGTGAGTGTCAATTCAGATTGATTTAATTGATGTACTTTCAAAATCTCTGGAGGGCTGAGGGAATTCTGCCCGTGTGGCTGTCTGGCCCTCCAGGTGACTTACTGTGCGTTAAGCTCCATCCAGTGTTCAAGTTGGTTGGTGATGTTCTGACGCTTCCACTCCGTCAGGTTGGCCACGATCACGCCGGGATTAAAGGAACACGTGTTAGCCCTCATGCCCAGCTTCTTGATGGCCTCTTTTTTAAAGTCCAGGAAGCCAATGTAATTGTTCTGAAGGAATACATACTTGAGATGATTAAAACGTTGCCAATTTTTTATATATGGCACCAAGTACAAAATAAAATGCTTTCATATAATTATGTAAAATAAGACCCTGTGTGTTCATTATTTTTTTATACAGAGGCTTTAAATCACTAGTTTTTGTAGAGTCTACAGCTGGCGTTGTGTACCTGGTTCCCGGCCCCTCGAACGATGCCCTTTGCGGATGCAGAATCACAGTCGTCTGAGAACGCAGCTGCGTGACCTGACTTTAGGCTTGTGTCAAAAAGCTCTTGGATGTCCCCTGCAAACATATCATATATTTAGTATTCATTCTTTATTCTCTTTCAGGAAATAAATCATCTTACTGTGCCAAACATGATCATGTTCAGTTAAGAGCTACCTTGTACAATGATGTCATCATCCAAATAAATGGCCTTTTCTGCATCTGGTATGAATACCGGCATGTAAAATCTGGCAAAGGTCAACTGAAACAAACAAGAGTAGTACTAATATTAACAGTAGTATGTACAGTGCATTCAGAAAGTATTCAGACCCATTGACTTTTTCCACATTTTGTTACGTTACAGCCTTATTGTAAAATTGATTAAATAAAAATTTTCCCTCATCAATCTACACACAATACCCCATAATGACAAAGTAAAAACAGGTTTTTAGAAATGTTTGCACAGCTATTTTCAGGTCTCTCCAGAGATGTTCGATCAGGTTCAAGTCTGGGCTCTGGCTTGGCCACTCAAGGACATTCAGAGACTTATCCTGAAGCCACTCCTGCGTTGTCTTGGCTGTGTGCTTAGGGTCGTTGTCCTGTTAGAAGGTGAACCTTTGCCCCAGTCTGAGGTCCTGAGCGCTCTGGAGCAGGTTTTCATCAAGGATCTCTCTGTAGTTTGCTCCGTTCATCTTTGCCTCGATCCTGACTAGTCTCCCAGTCACTGCCGCTGAAAAACATTCCCACAGCATGATGCTGCCACCACCATGCTTCACCGTAGGGATGGTGCCGGGTTTCCTCCAGACGTGACGCTTGGCATTCAGGCCAAAGAGTTCAATCTTGGTTTCATCAGACCAGAGAACCTTGTTTCTCATGGGCTGAGAGTCTATAGATGCCTTTTGGCAAACTCCAAGCGGGCTGTCATGTAAGCCACTCCTCAGTAAAAGGCACGTCTGGCCACTCTACCATAAAGGCCTGATTGGTGGAGTGCTGCAGAGATGGTTGTCCTTCTGGAAGGTTCTCCCATCTCCACAGAGGAACTCTAGAGCTCTGTCAGAGTGACCATCCGGTTCTTGGTCACCTCCCTGACCAAGGCCCTTCTCCCCCGATTGCTCAGTTTGGCCGGGCGGCCAGCTCTAGGAAGAGTGTTGGTGGTTCCAAACTTTTTCCATTTAAGAATGATTGAGGCCACTGTGTTCTTGGGGACCTTCAATGCTTCATAAATGTTTTGGTACCCTTCCCCAGATCTGTGCCTTGACACAATCCTGTCTCTGAGCTCTAGGGACAATTCCTTCGACTTCATGGCTTGGTTTTTGCTCTGACATGCACTGTCAACTGTGGGACCTTATATAGACAGGTGTGTGCCTTTCCAAATCATATCCAATCAATTGAATTTACCACAGGTGGACTCCAATCAAGTTGTAGAAACATGTCAAGGATGATCAATGGAAACAGGATGCACCTGAGCTCAATTTCGTGTCTTATAGCAAAGGGTCTGAATACTTATGTAAATAAGATATTTCTGTTTCTTATTTTTTATAAATTTGCTAAAATTTCTAAAAACCAGTTTTCGCTTTGTCTTTCTGGGGTATTGTGTGTAGATTGCTGAGGAAAAGGTTTTATTTAATCCATTTTAGAATAAGGCTGTAACGTAACAACATTTTGAAAAAGTCAAGGGGTCTGAATAATTTCCAAAGGCACTGTATATACAGTGAGCTCCAAAAGTATTGAAATTATACAATGACTATGAGGTTAAAGTGCAGACAGTCAGCTTTAATTTGAGGGTATTTTCATTAATATCGAGTGAACTGTTTAGAAATTACAGCACTGTTTGTACATAGTCCCCCCATTTTAGGGGACCAAAGGTATTGAAACAAATTCACTTACAAAGTAGTCAAAAGTTTAGTATTTGGTCCCATATTCCTAGCACGTAATGATTACATCAAGCTAGTGACTCTACAAACTTGTTGGCTACATTTGTTGTTTGTTTTGGTTGTGTTTCAGATTATTTTGTGCCCAATAGAAATGAATGGTAAATAATGTATTGTGTCATTTTCGAGTAACTTTTATTGTAAATAAGAATAGAATAAACAGTTCTCCCGATATGGATGAAAATACCCTCAAATTAAAGCTGACAGTCTGCACTTTAACCTCATAGTCATTGTATCATTTCAAATCAAATTGCTGGAGTATAGAGCCAAAACAAAAACGCCACTGTATTATTTATGAATATCAACATCTATAACACTGATAATACATGTTGTCTGTCTCACCGGTTTCACAGACTCAAGCTTCTGAGGATCTTTGGTAATCTTCCCATTGAGAAGTTGGGGCTCAAATATGATGATCTTGTGCTTGACATTGTTAAGCTGAGTCTTACTCATCCACACCCTGGGGATTGAAATGGGCATTAAAAACGCTAACATCATTCAACCTCAAACAAACAAGTCTCTGTTGTGCTTTTTATTAACAGCATGGCAGAGGTAACGCGTTAATCACTCACTTGAGGTGATCCACAGTGTCGTTCATGGTCACAATGTTGAACACAATGTTGGCTTTGCTGTTCTGGTAGACACTGTTCATGGCAGCCACCACAGCTCCCAGTCTCTCCTCTGCAGCAGTAATGACCACTGGGATCTTCTCCCCAGTTCTCACAAGGTCTGGTCTGAGCTCAGGAGAGAACTCAGACTCAAATGGCAGAAGCATACCTGGCACTGCATCTGTAAGAAGAATATTCAGTTCAATTCAATTCCGTTTAGATCAGGGCGATCTGTAATGCAGTCAGTGGTATAAAAACAACACACAATGCAGAATGCAGTACACTACACATTATCCATCAGCACCCTAAATGTTATTTGAGAAAACAGAGAATTACCCCCACTACCAGATAGGGAAACATTTACCTGGATTCTCACTTATAAGGAAGTCATTGAGATTCAGGAGATTCCGTTGCACGATGATCAGAAATGCTACTGCCAGTAGCACAAGGATGACCACATTTACTGAAAAATACAGAGCAGGGAGAAGAAAGGATGAGAACATCTGAAGAGATAACCCAAAGGCCAGGAGATGGCGATATTGAGTCGTTTCATCTTGCGTTGCCTTTGGACAGTAAGATGAAACGACTCAATATTGCCATCTGCCGGCCTTTGGGCTTACTCTTCAGATGTTTACATTTTTAAATTTTTAGTCATTTAGCAGACGCTCTTATCCAGAGCAACTTACATTATCTTTTTATTTTATTTTTCATACTGGCCCCCCTCATTTTACTGAAGAAAAGTGTCCCCTACAGCTCAACACTCCAATTATAGGAACCCCCCCTCCCTGTAATTCTCACAGAAGCCACTTTATGTCACAATTTGTTTTTATCCCAACACTTTCCCTGGCTGCTTTAGAATGATTTGGTGTGAGAATAAAAAGAGGCTCCTCACAAACTAGTAGTCCCGTGTAGCTCAGTTGGTAGAGCATGGCGCTTGCAACGCCAGGGTTGTGGGTTCGTTTCCCACGGGGGACCAGTATGAAAAAATGTATGCACTCACTAACTGTAAGTCGCTCTGGATAAGAGCGTCTGCTAAATGACAAAAAATAATAATAAACATTTCTATCCACAGGTTTTATGCGAGTAAAATCATACCATATAAAAAAATCACGATGGAAACAGTACGTTTCTTTACAATTTAAAAAATGCCAACAGATCATTTGTTCGTTTGACATGGTGGGATCTTTTTGTGTCTGTAAAATTAATGATGCGAGAAATGGCGCTGGAAACGCCTTTAATGCGCAAATATTGATATACTGTAACAACCATCATATTGAAGTAAACTTGGAGTGATGCGATGACATGGTGTGTAGTCCTCCCACCACGACTCTGGAAACCATGCAGTTTATTAGGCTACAGATGAAATAAATTATGATGAACTTCACAGGGTGGTGAAAGTGCGCCTTGATCTTGATGCTCCTTTCCAATAAATATCGAGAGTCATATTCTGGTGACATGATGATCGATGCTTGACTGCCGTTTGACAAATAAACATATTCTCGCTCTTATCCGTAATAATCTCATTATGTATAGTTTACCCGCACAGCCTACCTGTTGGCTAGAGCGCATGTGCCAAGACCAGAGTAGGCATATTTGCTATTTAATGCAACAGTTTGTGACAAGTTGAAAATGCGATGGAAACACATTGAACTTTAGATGTTTATTCGGTACATGAAAAATTAAGCGAAAAAGTACCTTTTGTGTGCACAAGTCATCACGCACTGATTTTTATCAACCTAGTGAGGATATTAATAGTGAGATGTGCAATGCCATTTTGTTCCAATATTTGATTTATTTAATTGAAATAAGATACCTAGACTTTAGCTTTTAAGAGTTAATAAAAAAATTAAAATATAAATATAATTTATAAAATAGATTTTAATACACTAATCTTCTGGGGCCAGTTACTGTCCCCCCCATGGGGTTACCCCGGTATTTGGGAAAAATTCCCCTTTTCTAGGTGTAAACTGCAGCCACTTATTTCCCTTCATTGTTTGTTTGCCTAAGCATACCTAATTATACCAAACGTAGCTTATTTTTTCTCTCCAGTAAATTGACATTGTTCTTAGGGGGGCAATTTACCCCACATTACCCTACATTGTTGCAAATGTATGTAATGTAACAACACTGACCTCTCCTTAATGACATCGCGGCGTCATCTGCTGCTCTCCTTGTTAGCCTGCACAGAAAGTAAACTAAGTAATGAAGCAGAATATGTAATAATGATCCATACAGAAAACTACCTTGATTTATAACGGATAATTGACCACCGTCTCAATGCACCAATGGCATGGATCCGCAATGAATAAGCCAAGTCAAATTAGTTTTTAAATAATATATACAATATATCCACGCATGCTTCGTACTCACAGACACACAAAAAATTCACATCAAAAGCCGAAGTGCCAACTCAACATCGAGTCTGTTAATGTCACTAGTTAACACAGCCACAACGTCATAAACCCCGCCTATTTCTACAATTTATCTTATTAAATATTTTAAACCTAACCCTAACCTTAATCACACTCCTAACCTTAAGCCTGACCATAACCGCAAATTAAGACCAAAAATATGATTTTAATTATCATTAACTTTTATAGTTAATGTTGACTTTGTGGCTGTGCTATCTAGTGGAAACACCCGTTACCTTGAATGGCCGGTAAAGATAGTTGCCTACGTATTTGCCTGTATTTAAATCGCGAAGTCTAATGAATAATAACCATACATTCCAATGGAGTTCACTATCACAACATCAGATTAACGTTTAATTTGATCAGTATTTTGATGTCGTATATGGAGTGGGATTGCTTGATAAACGGACGAAGAGCACCGTGTGAAGCTTCACATGCCTCGCGCTTGAATGAGGGGAGAACGAATGCCTCCTCTCATTAAAGCCGACGCGATACTGCAGGCTTTGTTAGCAGAAAAGAGGATCCCCCCATTATAGTGAATGGAAAAATGGCGATCTTCGTGGTCAACCTTTGTGTAAATACATTTTTTAAAACAATCATGGTACCAATAATTGCTTATAATGAACCAGATGTATGTCTTTGAACCGATTATTTTTTAAATCGCACACGTTCTGCTCGCCTAAGTTAGAATACCTCATGATAAGCAGTAGACCATACTATTTACCAAGAGAGTTTATCTATATTTTTCGTAGCTGTCTATTTACCACCACAAACCGATGCTGGCACTAAGACCACACTCAACGAGCTGTTTAGGGCCATAAGCAAAGAAGAAAATGCTCACCCAGAGGCGGCGCTCCTAGTGGCCGGTGATTTTAATGCAGGGACTCCAACCCCATTCATTGAACGGATGTTGGTGAAGCTATGTCTACATAAGGGTACTCATTTAAAAAAAACTCACAGAAGCTCTGACAAAGGCCTTGAGGCCGATATGTAAAGCTTAATAAAGAGCAGTGATAAAAGCAAAAATGTCCAAAATAAAAAATACATTAATACATGCTTAATTAAGAGCAGTGATACTAGCAAGAGCAGTTTCTTCTTTTTTCTTATCTAATCATTTTACCTAATTTCTACCAGCATGCCACCTGTGCAACTAGGAGACAAAACTCTAGATCACCTTTACTCCACACACAGGAACGCATAAAAAGCTCTCCCTCACCCTCCATTTAGCAAATCTGACCATAACTCTATCCTCCTGATTCCTGCTTACAAGCAAAACCTCAAACAGGAGGTAGTACCAGTGACTCGCTCAATAAGGAAGTGGTCCGATGAGCTACAGGACTGTTTCGCTAGCACAGACTGAAATATGTTCCGGGATTCATCCGATGGCATTGAGGAGTTTACCACATCAGTCACCGGCTTCATCAATAAGTGCATCAACGATGTCGTCCCCACAGTGACCGTACATATCCCAACCAGAGGCCATGGATTACAGACAACATCCGCACTGAGCTAAAGGCTAGAGCTGCCGCTTTTAAGGAGCGGGACACTAATCCGGATGCTTATACAGAAATCCTGCTACGACCTCCGACGAGCCATCAAACAGGCAAAGCGTCAATAGAGGACTAAGTTCGAATCCTACTATGCTGGCTCTGACACTCGTTGGATGTGACAGGGCTTGCAAACTATCACAGATTACAAAGTGAAACCCAGCCACGAGCTGCCCACTGACGCGAGCCTACCAGACAAGCTAAATGCCTTCTATGCTCACTTCGAGGCAAGCAACAATGAACAATGCATGAGAGCACCAGCTGTTCCCAATGACTGCGTGATCAATCTCTACGTAGCCTTTTAAACAGGTTAACTTCACAAGGCCGCAGGGCCAGATGGATTACCAGAACACGTACTCAGAGCATGCGCTGACCAGCTGGCAAGTGCCTTCACTGACATTTTCAACCTCTTCCTGACCCAATCTGTAATACCTACATGTTTCAAGCAGACCACATTTACATTTACATTTACGTCATTTAGCACCATAGTCCCTGTGGCCAAGAACCTCAAGGTAACCTGTCTAAATGACTATCGCCCCGTAGCACTCACATCTGTAGCCATTAAATGCTTTGAAAGGCTGGTCATGGGTCATGGCTCACATCAACACCATCATCTCAGACACCCTGTACCCCATCCAATTTGTTTACCACCCCAACAGATCCACAGATGACGCTATCTCTATTGCACTCCACACAGCCCTCTCCCACCTGGACAACAGGAACACCTACAGTTGAAGTCGGAAGTTTACATACACTTAGGTTGGAGTCATTAAAACTCGTTTTTCAACGACACCACACATTTCTTGTTAACAAACTATAGTTTTGGCAAGTCGGTTAGGACATCTACTTTGTGCATGACACAAGTACATTTTCCAACAATTGTTTACAGACATATTATTTCACTTATAATTCACTGTATCACAATTCCAGTGGGTCAGAAGTTTACATACACTAAGTTGACTGTGCCTTTAAACAGCTTGGAAAATGATGTCATGGCTTTAGAAGCTTCTGATAGACTAATTGACATCATTTGAGTCAATTGGAGGTGTACCAGTGGATGTATTTCAATGCCTACCTTCAAACTCAGTGCCTCTTTGCTTGACATCATGGGAAAATCAAAAGAAATCAGCCAAGACCTCAGAAAACAAATTGTAGACCTCCACAAGTCTGGTTCATCCTTGGGAGCAAACACCTGAAGGTACCACGTTCATCTGTACAAACAATAGTACGCAAGTATAAACACCATGGGACCACGCAGCCATCATACCGCTCAGGAAGGAGACGCGTTCTATCTCCTAGAGATGAATGTACTTTGGTGCGAAAAGTGCAAATCAATCCCAAAACAACAGCAAAGGACCTTGTGAAGATGCTGGAGGCAACAGGTACACAAGTATCTATATCCACAGAAAAACGAGTCCTATATCGACATAACCTGAAAGGCTGCACAGCAAGGAAGAAGCCAATGCTCCAAAACCGCCATAAAAAAGCCAGACTACGGTTTGC